CTCCAGCATGCCCGGCGCTCTTGACAAGAGTGGTGTGGGTTCGCATGGATGCCAGCCCATCTCCAGCGTGCCCGGCGCTCTTCACGGGAGTGGTGTGGGTTCGCATGGATGCCAGCCCATCTCCAGCATGCCCGGCGCTCTTGACGGGAGTGGTGTGGGTTCGCATGGATGCCAGCCCATCTCCAGCGTGCCCGGCGCTCTTGACGGGAGTGGTGTGAGTGCGCATGGACGCCAGCCCATCTCCAGCGTGCCCTGCGCTCTTAACAGGGGCGGTTGGAGTTCGCATGGATGCCATGCCGTCTGCAGCGTGCCCAGCACTCTTGACAGGAGTGGCGTGGGTTCGCATGGACGCCAGTCCGTCCCCTGCATGTCCAGCAGTTTTTGCGGGAACTGTATGCGTTTTTGCTTGTGCGAAACCGTCATCATGGTGCACAGCCGTCTTCTCGCGGGCAGTCTCTTCTTCCTCGGGACACATGGAGGAAGCTGTGCGGAAACTAAACAATCTCTATGAACTACCTGCACTACGGGTACCTCAGAAGTACCTTGATGCTACATGGGCATGCAATGGAGATTCGACTCACGCCCTTTGTCAGAAGCGCTGGTTTACAACTGCTGCCGCTTGTTTCACGAGCAGCTTCGCAAATTGATCTTTTGCCAGGCTAAAACCAACCTTTCCGGCCATTGCACATCCATGTGTTCATATGGATCCAACTTATGTCCGCCAACAATGCTCGGCCCGTGAGTGTATGGGACCTTGGCAGCCTCCTCGGGAATTTTGGCGGGGGCACACTTCTGTTAAAGACCAACACAATGAACACAATGCTTTCTGACCGGAAACATCCTCTATAGTCAGATCCGTTTTCGTTTTGCGTCACGCTCTCTCTCTCTCTCTCTTGGTCCTTCCTGCCTGTCAGCCACCTACCGTATTATCAAACAAGCCTGCGTAGACTCTGTAACATTGCGTGGCAGGCAATGTCCGAGCCCGTGATTTAAGGTGCAGCTCAGCCGTCCATGCTTTTGCATGAAGCCCATGGGGATCCAAGCATCTTTGATCTCCGTTGCCGTTTGCAGGAGGCGATCTTCCCGCGTGAAGCCAGAGTCGTAGCCTTGCTAAATCGCGTGTTCAGTGCAAGGAAACCATGGTCTCAGACCTTCACACTTCTAGTCTCCGGCTGCACAATCCCGGGCAGCAAGTTGCGGCCAGACACCGCATCTAAAGCTTGTTGTCTGCTCTCTTCATGTAACCCTGGGGCCCTGCAACAAAATCAGAAGGCAGCCAATACTAAAAGTGCTTCTCTTGCAAAGCGAGCTGAACGCACCCGTGCTCCCAATGCTCCAAGGCCCGTGCAAATGAAGCGGCCAGCAAGTGCAGGTCCCTCATCACCTGGTTCTTGTGGCCCTTAACTAGATATGCATGACAAAGCAGTAGTGTACGGTATTTTTGAACGGTCACCAGCAAGCCATAAGACACGCCAGCCCATTTATCTGATCCCTTCCCCCCTAGTATCAAACCCCTGAAAATACAAAAAACGGGTTCCCCAGAATTCCCAAATATGAAATCTGCTCCCAAGACTACGTTTAACAGGGCCAAGACTAAAGTTAATTTGGGCTCGGATCCTCTGAATTAGGAGTCCTTAGCATGATTCGCAAAGATTGGGGATCTCCTTGATTTCTAGGGTGTTGATTGCTTTTGAGTGGTTTTGATAAAGGAAAAATTCTGAACGCGATTTACTTGGTTTTATTGCAGTTTCGCATCCTTTGAACTAGATTCTACCGATGTCAGATAGATGTTACTTGAGCTGATTATGCTTTTAAGCTCATTTCAAAACAGCTTTTAGATGTCAATTAGATTGCTTCATGTTTACTTTGATTTTACTTGATTTGACTGCGATTCTAATCAGATGCACTCGATCTTTTATTCGAATTAAACGATTCTTTTTCGATTGTGTTTACATTTCGATATCCCCGCAATGTTTGGGTCGTACGACAAATACCCCCGACCCCCCAAGATTAAATATGGATTAGAGTGTATACGTCAGGAGGGAGACGTGAAACATTAGGGGGAAAGGATTAATGTCGCACTGCTTCTATGGAAGAAACCTTGTCTACCGTGTTTTGTCGGCCGGCGCTGGCTGGAAGACCCTGTTTAATGTGTTTTGTTTTTTGGGGCCCTAAAAAAGCGGCAAGCTGCAAGCTTGAGGCCCCAAGAAAAATATTTTGAAAGGCAGCCCCATTCAAAAAATCCTTTCCCAACTCAGCCTCGAAAGCTCTAGATCCAAAATCCAAATACCAAATTCTAAACCTGAAAACGACTAGTGCGAGTTAAGATCCTTATGTGAAACCTCAAAAATCATTTGGGCAAACGGGGGTAGTCCAGCAAACCTTGACGAAATCCCATTGCTTGGAGACATCTGTCATCCCTGAGCCCCCGCAAGTTTGGGGTCCAGACCATCCCTGTTTTAAATCAATCCCCAGAGCCCTCAGAATTGCGGGAGGTTTTGACTTTGAGGAGCCCTTCTGGAGACCCTATTGTTAGGGGGGCGGGGGAGGGTCGCAATGTTTGAAGAGAGTGCAACGTTAGTCCTCTCCATTGTGACGGGTCTATAAGGAAGTGACGGCTATCAACTCAGGAGGCAGTCTGAGGAAGTCGGGGTGCGGCAAACTTGGAACAAGGTCCCAGGCAAAAGAATGCTGATGTGGCAATGCCGAAACAATCGAGCAGCACGTGCAGGTTTTGCCATGGCTTGGCTAATGGCCACTTCCTGAGAAATCTTATCCCTAGAGCCCACAAACTTCAGTTCCGTGAGGCCCCGCAGATACAAACATCGCAGACTGGGGCATAGCAATTTCAAAGCTCAGTCGACTCGGCTTCACAGTCCCGAATCTACCAATTTCCAATGCAGCTGCAGGCACCCATCTTTGCCAGACTTCGTGGTGATGCAGTCCAAGTAGGCACATCCTGCTCCAACACCTTGTCACAACCTGGTCTTGTGGCATGAGGGCCCTAACACCCGTCAAGATGAATTGATGACGGATTATTTGGAAAAACTCGTCAAAGAGCTTATGGAATAATGGAGACGGCCCAAAGCCGCTTGCCACATTTGAAGAATCGGTTTCTGTGAAAGTCCAGAGCCTTTTCAAGATTGAAGCTGCTCACACCAAGTATGATACCTCACCGCAAGGGGTCACGTTACTCAAGGGAGCTTCGGTTCCAGCTCAAGCTGCTCTGTGAGCAGCCGCTTCATGCCAGCAACGCGCTGCCCACAACATTCCAGCTATTAATGACTTGAGCTTCCGACCACGGAGGACGTCCACAGCCACACTGTACATCGAGGTTGCAAACTGCACCCACGTACGGCGGTACTCCTACCACATAGGTATCTGTCGAGGCTGAGTTTGGAATGCAGAGTCCTGGGCTTCCACCTCTCTGTTGCTCGTTGGCATGGCAAAGAATTTTTTACGCAATGCTCAACCATTTGGCGAAGTCCTCGCTGGGGAAGATGTTCTTGCCAAAGAATGGATCCTTGGGTGAGCAGTAAACAATAATTCTTGTACCAGCACTGCGGCCGTGGTTAAGTTTCAGTCATGGCTCCACCTTGCCATTTGGGAGCTCCTCCTTCACATTGAAAAGGAAACTGCTTTGCAGCCTAAGTCTTTGGGCAAGACCAGGTTAAGCTGCAGAACAAGCGAGTATCTTCTTTGGCCGTCCGGCGAGCCAATAAGCCAACTGCTACAAGCAGCACTAGTCGAAGGCCTCGCTCAGATGCTGCCGAGGCACGGGTGAGTCTCGCTGCCTAGCCACAGGTTGCCCGCAACCCTTAAGAGTCAAAAGGGCCCCAAAGTAGGCTGACGTGGGGATCCCTTTTGCAGTCCAGCGTGGCACAAAGCTCACGAACGCGCCTGGTGTGCCACTCCAACCTGAGGATGAGGCAAAAGAGGCAACGCAAGATGAAAGAGGCAAGGCAGGGAACTTTCTTTCTCCAAGCAGATCCAGGCCGCAAGCTGGCTTCCGAGTTTTAGAGGCTTATGGTCTTGTGACACACTGCCAGATGACAAGGATCGGACCACCCAGAAGGGAATCAACCCTGCAGGTATCATGCATATGATGCCACTAACGAGGCTCAGACTAAACCAACAGGCGCAAAGCACCTGACTAAAAACCAACGCAGCCTAAGCGTTCACCCCTTCCAGTTTGCATCTCGCGGCCGGGGTAGGTGTTGTTGACTGCCGCAGCACGGGCACGACCGTCAGGGTCCAAGAGAGCCAGGTCAATCCCTGGCGTGTCAACGGCTAATGTGGCTAATGCTGGACAGTTGATGGAAGCCGGGCTCATGGAACGAGGGCGAATTTCCATCATAGTTTCAGTGCATCCTGCCTGCACGAAAAGCCTTGTGACGCTTCTCCGCGTAACCTGGCACTGATCAGATGCCGTGCCACCATTGTTGATTGTGTTGAGTGGACCTTGAGAACTTCCTGACTTGAGAAGTGCCCACAAGCCCTGGACGGACTGGACTTGCTCGGTTACGAGTGCTACAAGCCTGCTTCCCCTTACAACTCAGGTCTCCAGACAGCCCTACAGTTGACGTTTCGAGGAAGTCCGCCCGTGGCTATGCAAGCTGCCTGGAATTCCAGTGATGGCCACAGCTCCGTAAGCGCGTGGACCTCGGAGCAACTACATCCCTGATAGACTTTGGCAGCCAGCATCTCATCTGAAGCCAGAAATTTCAAAACTTCCATCTTGCTGTAGCGATCGCAGTTCTACTTCTGTCGCAAGCATGCCAAGATTACGACTGCTTGTACATTGGCGCGTCATTCTTTGCACGCGGCGCATTCTGAGGCAGCAACCAACAAAAGCCTTGCGAAGCTTGTCGAGAACACCAGGCGTAAGGCTTTTCAACCTTGAGTCTGCAGCTGCAGCGGCAGCAGCACTTTATGCAAACCACAGTTCTCCAGCAAAGACACTTTGCAGTCATTTATCGGTCACACAAGCCGAGAGACTCCTCGTAAGGAATCTCCACCACCGGCTCCACTTGCACAGTCTTCGTCGGCACAGTCTGTGTCGAAGAAGTGGGCTCCACCTGAATGTCGTCATTCGCTGACAGCTAGCAACCAAAGGTGCTAAGATGTGCTAAGATGCCTTGTCCATAGTCAACCATAGGTGTTCTGCTGTACACATCTATGTCAACTGGACATCTTAGGCCTAGGCCCAAAGTCTTGAAAAGGAAACATTGAATAGAGGCAGCGCGGAGGCATTGCGATCTACTGCGCCGTCTTGCTTGATGCCATTTGTGACTTGCGCATGCTGCGCTGGAATTGTAAAACGCACTTGTGCTGCTTTAGGCCAATACTTCCTAAAGTCCTTGCAGCGCTTACAGACATCCACACCAACATTCGATTCTTTGAGGATGGAGAACCCTTACCGTCAGGACAGGAAAGCTGCTTGTGGGGTGTGCAGTTGCGACGTCCGCTCGGCAGCCGAAGTGGTGAAGAGGCCCTGCAAGCAACTGCATTGCCGATCCGCAAGCGCTGAACAAGAGGTAGCTAGTCGGCTGCACTTAAGCGGTTTTTACAGGCCTACAGCGCAGCTTACAGGTTTCAAGGTTGCAGTTGCCACGCTCCGGCTCCGACAGCTCTCGTGGACCAGCTCGATTACACCAGAACCGGACCAACTGATACAGTAAGCGGTCTTCTGGTTCGCACAACGACACTGGACACAAGCTGCTGACTGGCTTTGTGATCTGCAGTGGTCATCTTGCATGGCGTCTTCTCACCCCTCTTAGACTCTTCTGCGATGAATGGTCTATGGGCTGCCTCTATCAATATCCTGCCTATTTGCAGGCTCATGCAAACTCATGCCTCAGAGAAATCTCGATTTAGTGAGCCCTACAAAACCAATGGAGTTGGCACCTTCTCGGAGATGCCAGGCACCAGGGTCCACCTCAGCTAAGGCCCGAACCCCAAGGCACACAAGCCAGATTACAAAAAGTTTCAAAGGGTCATTCAGGGTCTTTCAGGAAGCAACGCTGGTCGAACCTTTGCTCTGCTGAAAATAGGCTATATAGTATATTAAAGTTACATAGGGATAATGGACAAGAAAATGGAAACTACAGGGATTATGTAGGGATAATGGAAGAGAAAATGGAAACTACTATGTAGAGACAAAACAGAATGAAGGCGCTTCTGCGGGCTTCCTCTGACTGCGAGACATGGCCATGATCAAAAACGTTCGTCGTCATTGCCATCAGAAAGTAAATAAAAGCAGCAAGAGCAATTTCATCCCAAGTGACGACACAGCCAGGCTCTGTGGACCGGCGCCTCCACTTGCGGGGACGGGAGAGGGACTTGCAGCTGGGAAAATCCGCAGTAATGCTTCCTGAGAACTGCTACTCGTGACCAGGATGCAGACACGGGCATCACTGCTTTGGGGCAAGGAAATGCAAGGGGTTGGCTGGGTTGGCTGGTTCGCCTTTCAGCCGCCAGCGGGATTTCGTGATGAACTGCACCGAAGACCTGACAATCGTGAAGTGAATCTAGCCAAGGTGTGAGCCATTGCAGTAGGCCACGCTACGAAATGTCTGCTACAGTCCTGCAAACGCCGATATCTTGTTGTTGTGGTGCTGTTTTTGGTAGCATTTAGCCTGATGCAGGGTGGACCCGCTGCAGCAGGCCGAGAAATGACTTTAGATGGTTGCAGTGCTGGACAGTAACTCCTTGAGTCGAAGAATTCTACTTGGCAGACGTTCGTGCATGTGCTGAGAGCAGAACTTCAATAATTATCCAGCTCCATTGATCCCTCTGACAGGTCGTAGCGAAGAGCTTAAGGGCAAGTGTTGAAGCTCTTACGCAGCTAATAAATATCCATGCTCCATCCGATTCTAGAATCGGGTCATCTTGTTAGAAAAGTTTGGCAGTACATTAGCACAAACCAAAGTGCTGAAGCTGCCAAAGACTGGATGCCTAAGGCAACGACCTCAAGGGTATGGCGCCACGTTGTCTCAGGAACCTGGGTGCTTAAGGAAGCTGGATTAAAAAGTCGGAGTCATGCCCGACTTAGATGTATCGGGGGCTTCATGGCTCCACATGAGGCTTTGGGAATCCTGAAGACGCGGTGCGCACTAGTGCCTTCCAAGAAGCATTGCGCGAGAGTCACTTGTTTGCCCAGGGGCAGAGATTAGGGGCCAAGAAGCTGCGACTCAACGATTTCTATGGCATGCAGATGACAGATTCTAGAGCAACTGCGACCTCAAGTGTGTTCAAGAACTTCTTTGACCTCCAGCCAGTTCTTGGAGCGCGCTCGCTTGGGACGGTTTTACGCCCCTGCTCTCACCTGCCTCTCACTTACCTCCCGCCACTCACTTCGATAACGTGCCTTTCGAACTGGCAGTCACACCACCCCGGCGGGGGTCCACCGCGACGCACCTCGCTGCCCCAAGTCTACATGAATAATAGGCTCATACACTTGGGGCGAGAACTCATATTATACATCCTTTGCGATGATTGTTGGAGCTAAGCTGTCACGCACCTTAACTTAGGTGGCTGCATGCAAAATTACCATCATAAAGCAGTCACGAGCGAAGGCCTCACAAGCGCGGGGCGGCTACAATCAGCGTTTACCATCACTGTGCTAGCTTTCCTACTGTTAATCCTGGGCATGTGGTCACCAACACGAGGGAGCAGGGCAGTGAAACACCCGAAACCAACCCTGTTATCTTAGAACAGCACGAAACCCAAGTCCGGCGAAAAATGCTGCCGACAGCTACTAGAGCATGGTATGTGCCGAAAGACTTGCCAAGCTTAGTACGTTTGCGTAAGCTTCTACAATCTGGAAAAAGCAGTAAAGGCCACGAGCCCCCGTTGCAAGTTTATGCACGTTTAGCAGGCAAGGGTCAGCTTGAGCGCTCTCCCGACGGCCTGGCAGAGTAAAGCTAGGAAAACAAGATGTTGGAACTGAAAAACTGTACGGCACGTCGTTGTTTGCCGGAGTGGGTTTGGGCATAAGCGCGCAGCTTTGAGAAGCTGCCAAGTTGCTGACGTTTCTACAAGCCTGTTGCTGCAAAACAATGACTTGCTTCCCCAACCGTATCGTGCCCCTGGATTGTAGGTGTACCTGGTAGCCCGCTATGTAGCATACGTAAGGAGAGGAAAAGACAAACTGCCTCGAAAGCAGAATGCTGACCCAGGTCAAAGATTGGTCGGAGGAATCCAAAGTAGAGTTGACAGAACAGAAATTCATGTGGCTGATGCAATTGTCACGAATAATTCCAAACAATGAACCGCAACACAAATTGTGCGGAAAAAATAGTGAAGGGCCCGGCTAGGTGCTCGTGGTGAGGATTATATCTAGGATGCTTTGAAGCGTCTTGTGATGAAGCGCTAGGAAGAAGGGGGACTGAGAATTGACCCTTGGCCTCTGCCGCTGCCAGCGATGTCTCTCGTGCCGTAGCAGGAGCTTCTGCAGGCGCCTGGGGCCAGAACTTGTCGGAAGGCCAAACTAAGAGGAAGTTGGTGCACCTAGCACATGCCGAACAAACACGGGCGAGGCGGTTGCCAATTACGATAGCTGACATAGTACTTGTTTACTGCGAAATGCTCCGGCCAGCAGCAGGCTGCAAGAGTACCTTGAGAGCTGGATGACTTGATGGCTGCTAGCAGCTACAAGCAGCAAGAGCCTGCAGAAGGTGCACCGTCATCAGCCCGTTCATGACCTAACAGCGTGGGAAACGTCTGTAGGGTTCCTCCCAAGCTGCACTGGGGGGATTCTGTACGTTACACAAGGCTTAGGGGGCTGTGACAGTTTGAAGTTGCACTTCTGAATGTGAAAGGTAGACAAGCCAGTAGCCAGGAGAAGTTGAATGTGGACATTGCACATGCATTGGGTCACAGCTGGGCTATGGGCGCTTCAGGCTGTGGCAGGTGAATCTAAGAAGAGAAAAAAAGGCATGAAGTGCTCTGACGGCCTTCAAGATCTCCCGAGATCACCTGACCAACTGTCTTGTTAGTACTGCTGCTGCCACCGGCAGACGGTAGTCTGCCAGGAGGTGTTGTGGGGAACAGAATCTTCCTTCGCAGCAGCCAAGAAGACATGCGTGGCTAGACCTGAACTCTGCGTTCCAGGGGTCAAGCAAAGGACTCGAAGCAGTGATGGATCATCCTTGGCTGAAAAGGCTGCTTCCACAGTTTGGATACCTTTTGTTGAAACATCCTTGCTTGATACCAACTGAATTCCGCATAAGATGGGTAAGCAAACTGCAGCCATTTCAGATTGTGAGGGCAATGGGGTGAGACGTGACAACACCTTCAGGAACGACGGTGACCTAACTCTAGCAGCACAAAAGCAACACAGTGCGTTTTTAACTACCTACCACCAGGATCCTGACAGTAAGTAGGCTGCTTGTGAGCGTGAAGTCTTTGAGGAAATGGGAACAAGAGTAGTTCGCCAAATACGGGAATCCCCCTCTTTCGGGAACCCTTGTGCTGCAACACCCATTACCGATTCGCAAAGGCACGAATCATGAGCCAGCCAACAGGTGAAGGTTTCCAATCTCGCCTGGCTGACCTTTGGAGGTGCTTCACTCCCTTTGTACAAGAACGGACCAGTTCATCTCAATATAGAAATCTATGCCCTCTCTATCCTCGAACCGAATTGCAAGGCCTGGAAGCTGTAATCGAACAAATCTTGCTTCAACGTACGGCAATCAAGTCCAAGCCTCTCCACGGATACATCATCCACAAACTCCTCGTCTTGTGCTTGTAGCTGAAGATTGCTGCCTTACAGTACTTTTGGCAGTGAACTTCCACACGTCCACACGGCTTTACAACTGGCTTTGGTCAGGGCTGGCATCTGCACAATCCGATTGGACTGTCGCTTCCAGTTTTACACTGTCATAGTTCGTACATCTTGGCCAGCACTGCTATTGTCCAAGCGGCAGAAACCGGGACGATTTGAGAGGTCCATGACACAGAGGACCTCTGGCAGCACTACACAAAACAATGCTTTTGGGATGTCCCTTTCCGTACATGGGCTTGCAGAATGTTAAAGCAGATGACAGCAATGTTTCGGAGCAAAAGGATAGACATGCCAATCCTCGCACGATACGCTGATGCCAGGCCTTCGCAGATCCCTCTGTGCCCTCAGCCCAGCCCATGCGCGTACAGCCGGCCTCAAAACTTTCTGCAAGGAGAAACGTTCGCGGTACGTCCAGCTGCTGACCAGGAGGCTTTTTACGTTTTCGAACTGCCTTCTAACTAACCCATTACCAAGTTGTCTGGTTTCCACAAGACGAACGGTGACTAACGTCCATCACATGTCTCCGTGACCACAGCTTTCGCCTTGTCGCCCAAGGCATCGGCCAGTGCCTTGCCCACCTCAGCCACACAACGCAATCACCGAAATAGAAGTCCACAACATAGGAAGCAAGAAGCTGCGCTCCGCCAGGGCTCAGGGGGCTCGTGTTGTAGTCTGGTTATGGAGTGGCACGGGGCCAATTGCGGACTCTCCAAGTTTCTTGAAAGGCCCTGCTGCTTAAGCTTCTGATCCACAGTTGCCGTGCTGCGAAAAGCAATCAGCCTTCAGCCCCGCGATACTCCGCAATACTGTAGCCATGTCCAGCAGAAATCTATGCTGTGAACTCTCCCTTACGCTCCTATCGACCAACCATCAATACCTGCTGCATATGCTACTCTTTTCTTCCGGCGCGTCATCTGCAGGTGACGTCTGAAACTTTGATCCGACCATGTGCAGGTGAAGACTGGCCCCTAATCCCCTTGGGGTGACTCTACTTCAATTTAACGTCCTCGAGCAATGGGTGGAAACCCCCAGCTCGCAATCCTGCAGCCCAAGCCGCAGTGATCATCACATCCTCTGTGCTGTGATGATCATCTATCCAGGTGTCGCCTGCGTATGGACCCCGGAAACTTCCAAATCTCTGGAATTATCATGTCTAACTTGGTCTCAGCACCAAGAGGGCTATATTTAAAAGAAGAAGCGCTCTCTGATGCTTTGACTCATTTTGCCTGCTGGTCCTGAGATCTGAAGCTGATGCCTTGACAGATCGCCCTCATCGCGACACCCGCCGATGAGCGGAGCCGGCAGAGCAGCGCATCGAGGAAGCCGAGCCCTGTTGAGATCCTGAGGGCTTGCTGGGAGAACAGGCTTCCAGCGTAAACTTTTCTGGGACTTCAGCCAGTATGCCTGTTTGGGTCTCGAATCACCTTGCTGCACTTGTAGGGTTCCTGGCCGACCTGGGCATCCTGCCTTTACAGAATGGTCAGAGATGTCTCTCTGAGTCTAGAGCCTAGAGTCTTGGCTTGCGCGACTAAAGCTCAACGTTGGCAGCCGTAGGGTCTGGTTAAGAAGCATCTGTCCCAACAATAAGCCCATCAGCAGCGTGTGTTTGTCAAGGCCGTAAGCCCTCTAAGAACCCTTACCCGCATCTTCGATTTGAAGCTTCATGGCTTTTCTAGACACAGATTAGCATGACATGCTCAACTTCTATGGCAGTTCAGTCTATCAGGAAATCTGATACATAATATGAGAGCTGAAATCAAGCAGAGGGTCGTCGCATCGGCATTGTCTCTTGAATCCAGATCCACAGAAACGTCAATGCTCGTCTCCTATCAGCTCTGCCACACTGAAGCTTGAGCGCGCGCGGACGCACATAGCCTTGTACCAGGCACGCATAGCTCACACTTAATTAAGCTGCAGTCGAGACTGTGAATGCGCAGGATCTAGAACTGAACTGGCTGGAGAAAGTTGGCGGCATGTTTTTTTCTCGTGCATGCCGGCCTCCAACACCCTCAGCACAGCTTGCCCTGAAGGTTTGCTGTCATACTTGCGCCCAGGGCCAACCTTCCGTTCTTGCTTCTGATCCAAGCGGTTCAAGGCCCAAACCTTGCTTTAGCAGAGCGCACTTGAAAACGCTAGTTGCTGGCTGTTTAATCAGCTTTTGAAGCCTGAAACCATGGAGGGGCTGAGAAAAGCACGGCTCCTATATTCAATCCTTCCCGTCAACCGGGCCTTGCAAGCCTGGGTTGTGCCATAGTAAGTACTCAACAGCAAGGACGCAAGGACATCATGGGAAACATCGAGAGGCCAGGAAGCTTCTCCGTTCCTGCTCTTCAAAAAGAGGAAAGGCCTGCAAGGCTGGCTTGGGTTAGACAAACAGCCAGAAGAGGACAGGATCAAAGTGGCGAGGAACTTGGAGGAACTTGGAGGATGGAGAAGGCAAAAAGCCATGGGATTTCTCGCGGCTCCTTGGTGCTCCGCTGCTTTCCACCTCGACGAGGCAGAGCCAGTTCTGCAGCGATGCTCACGGCGCTGAAAGCATCCAGGGCCGAGCGCAGACACCTCGCCAAGCTCTTGAAGGTGGCCTGAGCTGAAGAAAAAAAAGACAGGATAGCGATTGCGAACGTTGTCCATTCCATCCCTTCAGAGGTTTTTTCTGTGAAGGATTGAAGTCAAACCTGAGAGATGGCGAGGTCGATCCAAGCTCTGGGCCGCCAACCTCCACTATGTGGTGCCCGTTATCGCCGCGGACCTTATGCACCTGGCAGCAAGGGTCAAGGCCTACGGATCTGTCACACATAGAGACATTACATCAGCCTTCGCAGAAATGCGGCTCACTCGAACAGGTTGTTTGTCCCACTACTCGATCCTTAAGCATTATCAAGAAATGGCGCTGATACTCGGAGAACTAGATCTCAGCTTGAGACTGTCAAGACCTGCCCAAAATAACTCGGCCCCGAGCCTGCAGGGACACACCAAGTGCCTCGGAAAAAGAGCTCAGGATAACCTCCGTGAGCTCTGTACCTCTCGAAGCCCAAGCCCAGCTCCAAATCAAGCATGGCCACAGTCCATGCCAGCCGTGGACGTTGCTTGCTGTACCAATCCATGATGCTCTCAACTTCAAGCATGGACGCTGCATACAAAATCTCGGTCCAATTCATCAAGAAACCCAAAACCTTGCATTGCAAATTGAGGCAGGCACGGAAGGACCCGATTAGTCGACGACCACCACGCGGAAAGGTGCCTTTGTTTGTTGGCTCTCAGTGCTTCGGGCTGAGCTGGCGAGAAATCGTTCTGTTTGGCCGTCGCTCCCATGGCTGCGTTAGACTGGACTGAGTTCGCTCACCTTCAAAACACTCAATCTGAGAGCACAGAAGCCCAACAGGCCCATCGGGCGCGGAAGCATCCGCGCAGCTCTCTTCTCTTCCCCGGCACCTGCCTGGAGTCCAAGCGGCCGTACGGCGCCAAGTCAACCACGGTCGGCTTCGCCTTGCTGGGGTTCGTGGCGTAGGAAATGATTCACAATTCTGAACACTCAACGTCACAATTCCAGAAGAATAATTTAAAATTCCGTGTGCGGTGAGAGGCAGGGCCAACTATGCTGATGACTCTGACGAGAGGTCGGTTTCTGAGCTGATCATGTGCCAAGCAAGCCTTCAGCAATCCAAATCCTGGGAACACAGCAATTGGCCTTCTCGCCGTGCTTGGGGAACTCTAAGCGCAGATCGGTAAAGGCCTGCCAGGCTTCAGGGCTCGCCCGTCCCAAGTTGACGGACACGCTCTGGGCGCAGCAAATGCCGCCGCCAGAACTCGTTTGCACAATTTGCATGTAGCACTGTGCCCGCTTCATGCCGCTTGGTCTGAGACCCAACCCGCAAAACTCTGAACACGCAGCCCGCAAACCCGCGCACCAAGCCCCAAACCTCATCAAGTGGCGCGCAAAAGCGAAAAGAGCCGCCCAGAGCCCTGCACTGCCAAAGATTAATTGAGCATTGGGCTTTAGTAGCAGTTGGAGAAGAGGCAAGGCGCACGCGTATGTGAATCCTGATTAGAGCACTGGAGCGCAGTGAAGCATAGTCGTTCACCTCTGGATCTCATCTTTGACTTGAGGGGCCCAATAATGTGAAGTCTTTTCTGCAGAATATGTGGAAAGTTTGCTGTATGATGAGGCCAGAATGCTATGAATCTTAGCACCAGGCCATTAACTATCAAGGCCGGGCTCTCTTACCAAATCTGATGCCTCCTTAAACCGCCTGTTCGAACAGGCTAGGCGATCAAATGCAAAGGGGGTAGTCCGGCAGGGTCCCTAAACCTCAATGATGCGAAAGGTTTGGCGGGTCTGAACTACGCAAAGGTTGCTGTGGGTCAATGGTGGGACCAATTAGATTTGAATGCTAGGCCTTCAAATAAGCAGGCCCTTTGGAATCTGACGCAACCGGAAACCATCGATTTCTGATCAAATCGCTTATTAGATCAGGCCAAGCAATCGCATTCCAAAGGTGTGAATGCAGCAGGCCCCCTCCACCTCAATAAATTAGAAAGATTTGTGGTGGACTCAACTGTGTACAGTGCGTTTGGTGGGTAAGGCCATTACAACGTGTCCATGATTGCTATCAATGCGATTTCTAATGGATGCTCATTGAAGTCTAATTCTGTCTGATTAAAGCTTAAAGGCTTGCAGAAGGATTTTACTTAAGTTTTATTAGATGAGAAACCTAGACTTGCACTTGATTGTTTTTACATGTTTTTCATTGCAGGTTGATTGGCCGTCATCAGATTTTCATGTCAACTTGGTTGAAATCGATTCAATCTTCCATGATTCTTACTAGACTGTATGTGACTTTTATAAATTGAAAAGCTAAGCCTTGAAACATGAAGGCCAAGCTCTATTAAAGGAGACCCAACCTTTCCTACTCTATATGAAATTAAAAAATCTGACCCGAGCTTCCCATGAACGCCCAAACTAAACTAAACTGAAGGACTCCATTCTCCTCCCTCACTTATGAACTCTGCTCATAGTTTTAATGGAATCGGAAGGATCTCCACTCCTTTTTTGATTGTAATTATCAGCCAGAGAAACCCTTCCATTTGTTTTGAGGATTGCACATCATAGAGAACCCCTTTTTGATTTGGGGGGAGGGCTGTGGGGCGAAGAGGGCCCCCACACAAATCAGGATCCAGCGTAGATCCCGCCAAGTCAGACCGCATTCTTCAAACAAGAGCTGAGCAAAAAGCATGACATGCTCTGGAGCTCTCAAAGCTGGAGTTTAGCGCATCCACAAAGCCCGCGCTTAACGACGCTGCCATGCAAGTATGCTACGCAAATGGGAAAGCATTTCGCACTGTTTCTGTTGTAACTTTGTGTTTCACAGGGGGCTTAGTTCTTGTGCATATTGAGCCCATCAATTTCTGAACATCATGGTCCTCAGCACAAGAAGGAGCTCAGTTAATAGTGAACAGGATTTTACAGGGAACATGTGCCCCAAGTCATATGAGCAACTCCCACGATGTAGCTGAACCTTTACGAGAGCTAGACTCTGTCACTATGATGCAAGCAAAGACAGATGATCCGTCCTGCGCTCAGAATACGAGCTGCCAAGTAGCTCCTGGCTCAGCTTAGCTACCATCAAAAGTATTTATCAAGTCTTGTCAGTCAGTTCCTTTAGCATCTCAACTTCAGCCCCGTTATGGCAAGAGGCACAGAAGACACAAGGCTTTGGACAACAAATCGTCTCCTTGACAGCCGCTCCAAGCGCAGCTCCTACCAATGAGGCCACCTCCAACGCACGGCTGCCAAAGGCTGGCTGACGCGCATGTGATAGATTGTGACTGTATGATTCATGCTTTGGCCCAAGGTCAAGCTGGATATATCTGCGTACTCAACCAAAGAGCAAAGAGGGCCATCTTGCCGATCGCTGTGTAAGGAAAGCCTGCGCGCTTTTCGCGGTCTCATGTCATGCTGAAGTTGCCTACTGAACGTAAGTGTCCCCGTGCGAAACATGACGGCAACTGTGGCTTCCACTGCCTTGGCGTTATTTGGTGGTCTCCCGAAGTGTGGGCTGGAATATGATACATATGTATATACAATCAATTGTACTGTATTTCTCATGGCTTGGCTTGGATGTGAGAATACCCACCTCGCCATGGGCATACGCAGAATGTAAAGACAAGCCATGACATAACAGCAGAGCAGAATGGTTACCAAGCGATATCAAAAGAGACCAAATGAAGAAGTTCAAGGTGATCATGTTCAGTAGGGCAAGCCGACGTAGAATTG